TACCTGATATATTTGCGCCGGGACCGTCGCATAGTGGTATGGTCGTTGAACTCAAATAAGCACCTGGAAACCTACCCGATCTCCTCGGCTCAAGATGACGACATGGATATGGATTCAAATGACTCGGATGATGTTCTCGTGTCATACTTGGATGAATTCAATCCGTTAAATCCATTACCTCCCACCCCTCAGAAATATCTGAGAGTGTTGACATCAAGTCCCATTCGGGATTCAATGTCATTCGATTTTGTTGTATATATTCCGACATCCAGAAACGGCTTCTTTGGAATATACCGGGTGATGGTAGATGCTTCCGGCGGTCTAAAACAACTCTACCTGATCAGGCGTTCATATCAAAATCCATCTGAGCAATTGAGAAGTGGGGATTATCCGTTTCACGACCTGATAGACATGGAGTTGACCCCTTCTCATAAGATTGAGGTAAACGAATCGGATAACGGGAATGGTGAAATGAAGAGTCGTGAGTGGAGGTTGTGGGCTCTTTGGAAACGAAAGCGACAGACCGTGTTAACCTACACACATTTTCGTCTTACCTATTACGACGTCACTGGGAGTAATGGTTATGAGGCGATCTCGGGTTTAAGTAATGATGATGATAGCATTGGGAAGAGATGGGAACACGTGGCCGGAACCCCGGTCGAAAAACACGACAAAGGGTATCTGTATCGCTTGCCCGATCTCCAAACGGACCATGTGAAAGTGTGCACGGATTACCTATTCTGCCCCGGTCGATTTTCGGCTTCAATAATCAATCGTGCGTTGGAAAGGTACATTCGACTCTTTAAAACGGAGAATTCAGAGGAATTTCAGGAAAAAGATTTTCTGGAATATGAGTCGATAATTAAGAACGTGAACACGGACCTGAAACAGAAGGTCAAAGGGGTGGTCGCGAAACACGTGCGCCTACAAAATGATCCGGAAAATGACATCCCGCTCGAGAATGATCATAAGCAACTCGTCATAGGGGAATGGGTGCACTTCATGTTGCTATGCATTGAAATTAAGGAGACCTCTCGATTTCCGCTCAGTCTATCAATCATTCAAGCGGGTTACTTTGTCGCCGTGACTCAACAGGACAGCGTATCCACCATCCGAGTGTGTGACACGCTAGAGCTATTTCATTACTACACTAGCGGAGAATTCAAATTCCTGAATCTATCCATACGTTCGAAGAGTCAGCTGTCGGTCACATACCCGCAATCGGAAGCGGTCAAACCTTCCGACATGATCAGGTTATTCAAGTCTATGAACTTGTTAGTGTCATCCTTCTTAGACGTCGATTTGCTATTACTAGACCGCGCGATTTTCAAGACACTCAGTAAACCTTACTTGACTTCGGTTAGACAAAGCGCCGCGGAATTCTATGAGAATCACCTGAGTCACCGCATACAACCAAATTTGAAAGCAAAGATATGGAAGTTATTGGAGACGTATCAGCGACCAGAAAGGATTATCTTTATAATTCTCACGGCTTTAAACGATGTCATGTTTGAGATGAGCGATAACATAGGGAAAACGACCAAGACCACGGTTTTCGTGGACGCTCTAATTTCATCAGCCACGGCAGACATTATTCGCTCCCACTATGTGATATCGCGTAATTTGTATCTCCTGTTGGTTTTCATGGTTTGCACGAAACCCCATTTGGGAATGGAGCAAAGGGTGTCTATGAGCATGTCGACCCTCTACGTCTACATGATTCTGAAGTGGATATCCGAACAATCCGCTTATTCCGATGCAACGGTTGATAAATCCATAACCGCCGAGGATGGCATGTTTGAAAAGTTCTCCGATCTGAGTGTAGCTAACACCAAGAATGTATCGGAACTACCGGACCTACGTTACAGCCTACTCCACAGTCTCATCCACCAGCAATATCCCCTGGACCTGAGCTTTCGGACACAATTTTTACCAGTTATTATCATGCGCGGTGTGAAATATTTGGTTGACGGCATGGGATTTCTGCTCAACAATTCACCGCAGTTGATGGTCATGACACCCAAGTCGTATTCCAAGTTTGGTAAGCTGTTATATGCCTCGGGTTTTTTCGACCACCTTCATCAATACCTTCAATTCCTGCTGGAGACACCCTCAAGCTTGTACCTCTATGGCGAGCAGTTATTGAAAGAACGTAAATTCGATAAGGCGGCCGAGAAATTCATTAGAGCCGGGTCGGGATTCAGTAAGTTGCTATTTTGCTTATCAGACCGCTTTTGCCATTTGAAAAAAAATAAAAATAAATAATAAAAATAAATGATAAATAATGATGATAATAATTAAACCGCTTTTTTTTTTCTTTTTTTTTTCCTATAGCGAATGACATGATGCTTCCACCCTACACCAGCGAACCGATTATTCCATCGCAGGATTATCTACCAGGAAATCTGACCGGTTATTATAGGCACGTTGCTACGCTTTTCGAGAACTGCGAACAGTCAGTTTATGTCATTAAATTTTGCACACTTGCTCTGGAGGCATTTAAGGAGGACCAGGTAGATTTGAAACGTTTGAGCGTTCAGAAGTAGAAATGTACACTAAATTTTTGTTATTTAACGCTGTTAGCGCCAAAGCCCAGAGGGTCGTGATTTGGTTTCTCAACTTTGTTCAAAGATTTTCACTAATGCGATGCAAACTGACCTGTTTGACGAGGCGTATAAAGCAATGATGATGAATCCGATTTTGGTATCGTAAGTGTGAAAATTGAGCGCATGATCATTATTGATCAAGAAGGATCCCTCGAATAATCCGCCAAACCTTGCATTTCACACACTTTGTAGTCGACAAGCCAACCTTCGCCCTTTTGTAGTTAACCTGTGTGAGAAAAAAAAGAGCATAATGCTTCAACAATACCCATTCCTTGATCTGCGAGGGGATCTGGAAGCCATTCTGGAATTCCACGCACGCTGCCATGTTGTGACCGATGTGCCGAACTACTCGATGATTTGCTACTCATACTATATTTCCCGTAAGAAATTCAGGGATGGTGAGTGATTATCTTGAATCATGAAATCATTTCATAAAAAGGCGGTCTGACTTAGAAATGGTTGTATTACATCAACATGTAGCCGCTCGTGTCGTATATCAATATGCCAAGAAAATAGAGGAGAGTAGCCTGGTATTTGACAATTTCCAGAAGGCCATGACAGAACTTGCCTCTAGCTATCTTTCGGCCATTAATGCATTGGAACAGGTATCACCGGCATCCCTCGCGTGGTTCCATTACATAACTCTTTCTCCCAGTGACGACGATCGAGTAAGTTAGCGTGAATATCATCGACTCTTTTCCGAAAGGTTCGTGTGCCTAATCGTAACTCGTTTCTTAATAGTCACGAAAAAGAACAAAATACGACGAGGAAGCCTCAAAAGGTATGTGGACCCCTTTTGCTGAAGCATAATTCAGAATATTATATCAGAGGTCTTTGATGTAATTAACTAACTTACTTGATCAAAAGATAATAAAGTGATCACTGAAATAATATCACTGCCGGAATTGAAAAAGTCCTATACGTTGGTGATGGCCAGGCTCGAATTAGGACGCGAGTTTACTGAAAAAGGTGATCGATCATGTGATACGGGAATAAAGCTGTTATGTGCATATAGTAGGCATGTACTTTACTTAAAACCAAATTTATAAAACATGATTAGTCACTCCGATAAAATCCCAAGAAGCGGTCAAGTTGTGCAGCTATGCTGGAAAATTCGATTTGGCTATCTCGATCGCAAAACTGTTCGAAATACCGTTGGACGATGTGTTTGAAAGGATGACGCGAAAATGTTTATTGCCGTCAAGTTCGAACACGGAATCAAGGTTGGTTCGCTGTTGTAAACTTCGGTAAAAATGCTCTCAATTTCTAACCCCTCGTGAATTCTTTGTTGAAAGTGAACGTAAAACATCATCTTGGGTCAGAAACAATGAAGCCGCTCAGGTAATACACGGCACGGAGACCGATAAAGCGTGGGCTATGCTACGAAAGTATTTGGACAAGTATGATAAAAGGGAGGAAACGCTTTGCCGTTACAGAGCTGTCGTGCTGAGGACGATGCTGACCGTCAATTCTCATATTTGCATCCCCGAGTGGTTGACATCCTTCTACAAGGTATCAATCGACACACCATCCTAAGGTGATATCTTACAAACGCTACCATCATTAACAATATTCTTTTACCTTCTCAAACCGATCGCAAGACATACAATCAAGCAGAGCACATCAAAATATTGATGGATTTTGGTCGTCTGTCGGACGCAGTGATGGCTGTTTCGGATTTGTTGGAAATGGTTTGTGATGTTGTCTATATGATTGATTAAACTTTTCGCTGTCTGTAATTGTTTCTGACTTCGAACTACCAATATCTAGGAGTCTAATAGGCATGACGGGAAGATAGCTTCTCACTGCCTTCCTTGGAACATAATCGAGAATGTTCGGTCGTTATTGGATCAAACAATCGTGAGTCCTCAACTAAAAGCCGGTAAAGAAACATTGGAGAAGTTGAAGAATGTTTTGGATGAAGTAACAAAATCATACTTTAGAGCGATCTCATCAGAATAGGGCATGATGTACAAGCGAATGATACTAGGCAATGCGTCCTAACTTTGTAAAAGATATCGCCAGAAATAACATGACTTTAGAAAATTGCATTGTTTATAATTTCATTATTACAAGACGAGAACGAAAAAGAAAAAGTGATTGCCCATCTTTTTTAGTATTTGTTAATGGATTCCTTTCGAAAAACGCGAATTTTTCTAACGGACAATTCAAGAGTTCTGGGTGTCAATAGAGCATTTTGGTTTTTTTTAAAAAAAAAACTTTGTACATTATATATAAATTTAAAAAGTATTTCGCATGCAAATGATTCATGTAACTTTATTACTGTATAATACTGTATTCTATCAATTGAAAATCTTAGAGCAACTAAATTATTAATTACTGTATATAATACACGTATAATTTTTCATTGGTTTCGAAAGTAAATTATGTGAACGTGTATGATGTTAAATTAATGGTGCATACAGTCAAACCTGTCCATTTGCATAATGTGTAAACACTGTCTTTGTATGAGCCAAGTGTAAAATGCTTAATAAAATTCAACTATTTTGGCAATCAGATTTAGCAATAAATTGGTAATAAAATAATAAATAAAATATTTTACAATATAATTAATTTGCAATTTATTAACAATTCAACAAAAATTCATAACTTTTAAATTATATATAATTAAAAATTTTTTTTTGATTTTTTTTTTTTTTTTAAAAAAATTAAATAAATATATTTTGATTATATATATATAGTTTTTTTAAAGTTTATTAAACTTAATATATAGTAATCTATGAATCAATAGTGTAGTAATTAGCACTCTATAGGTTAGATCAAAAGATACAAGTCTAAATTTTCCAGGAGACAATATCTAAAGTTTGAAAATAAGACTTGTATCCATTGACTTAATCAATAAGTCTAATCCTTTCAACATTCCTAAATATAATTACATAATAATAAAAAAGAACTGGATATTACTCATGATACAATCTATATAAAAATTGTGATCTGAAAGATAATAATTCAAAATTGGTTAGGATCATTCTAATTTGATTACATTATCTCTAGTTGTAAGTTAGAAAAAGATAATAAAAAAAGAAGATCTATTTGATTGATAAAGTATTACTAAATTTAAGTGCTAGGTTATAAAGATTATCTAAAACCTATGCTATTAATAAGAAAAAAATTCATTGACTACTTTGAAAAATTAAAAATCTAATTTAAAAAAAAAGAAAATTTAATGATCTAATAATTAATTTATACTTAATAAAAATAAGATCATAATAATTAAAAAAAAATCAGGAAGTTTTTCAAAAAGGTAATGCTTATATATATATTATAATCAATATAAATTAATTAGATATAAATAGACATTAAAAATAGTTAATGTATATAAGATATAGAAAATAGTTCATATAATAAATATAAAGAGGTATAAATGAAATATATATTGTATTGTTACTAAATAAACTTGAAAAGTTTGAAAAAACTTCAAAGATTGAATATAATAAAAAATATTAAATAAAAACTATTAGTCTATTAAATATAATTAGATATTCCCCTTCTCCTTTTTTCAATTCCTTTTTTTATAGTTTTCTATATTTCAGTAGCTTAATAAAATATTTAACAATAATAATCTATTAGTGATAAAATGATAAACTAGAAGGATATTCACTTAAAGACTATTATAAAGCAAAATATTATTCTTAAGATCAAACTTAAAGACTATTATATTATTATTTATAATTAGTTTGTTAAATTTGATAAAAATATTAAATTGTAATATATATATATATATATATATATTTTTTAAAACCTATCACTAGTCAAAATTGTGTTATTCAGCTGATGAATTTGGCAAAAATTAATAATAAAAAGATTGACGAATTATTTATGATTGTTACTACTCGGTATTAAAAATATCAGTATACTGTAAAAAAAAATTTGACACAAAATCTGATAATATTGTGGCAAAAAAATTTTTTACATACTATAACAAAAAAATTTTAATATACTGTGATCAAAAATTCAATAAAAAAATTGATACTATGACAAAAAATTTGGCAAAAAAATTGATATTACAGCAAAAAATTCAGCAAAAAAATTGATACTATGGCAAAAAATTGATAAAAAAATTACTGCGGGAAAAAATTTGGTAAAAAAATTATTGTGATAAAAAATTCAAATTTCATGAAATTTATTAAAAAATTACAAAATCTATTAATCAAATTATTTATTATTTTTCTCTTCCTCCTTTTTCTCTTCTTCCTCCTTTTTCACTTGTTTTTTTTTTCCCTTTAAAGATCTCAGCTTGACTCTTTTAAAACTAGCCCCAATTGGTTTTACCTTGTCAAATGTTTTTCAAGATTTTTTACTTTTTTCTTCTAATCTAATTACCCCCAAATTTTACCTATTCATGCACTTTTCCCAATTTGTTCCTCACCCTCTGAATACATTAATAATTTCTCATATTTGGTAATTTTTTGTCTTTTAGATTTATTTACTGATTTTTTATCTTTTCCTATCTCTTTTTCTTGTTCACGTTCTAAAATTTCTTTCAAACTGTATGCCCAATTCAGCAAGCCTTTTGGTGATATTATATTATAGAAATATGAATCATTATGATATAATTTACAAGTTGGCTAGAATACTTGAATTGATTTCTTTTTTTTTTTTTTAATTTTAACCCTCTGTCAGGCTAGTTGCGTGCGCTTTATTAAACAAAAGTAAGCTATACATTT